AGATTTAATAAGTGGTTTGTGTTTTGCCGCTAAGAATTAAATCGAAAGCGTTGGCCGTTGTAGCGATGGGGGGCGAGAAAACGCTGACCCATCTGAGCAGATAATCTTTTCTCGAACCCGTTGCCTTCGATGCGTAAGGTAGTCGTGAGGTCTCAACTGTGTAGTTTCTTTCTGGCTTGCTTTTGTACTGGGACCTCTCTTCCCGTCCCGATTTTGCTGTTACAATATAAGGCAGTATGATGCAAAGCACCCCGGCTCCCCCCTCAGGGGTTCATGTGAATGCTTATGAGCAGGTTCCATCCTGCAGGTGTTACTATTGGTTTCTCGGCCTACGCAGCCCTTATCATCTTCAAGGCCAGAGCTGGAAATGTCATAAATAGCTTCTCATGAGAACCTGTGGCACACAGGTGTGTGTGTGTGGGGGGGGAATCAAGAGTGATGAGGTAGTCTTCTAGAAAGTTCCAGCAAGAATGTGTCCTGATTGGGTGTCATCATCACCTGATGCTGCTTGAGCCAGAAACTGTAATTCAGCTAACGGTCTGGAGAAACGGTCCTAGCTTGGGTTCTGATGGACTGAAGGCCTGGACTATGCCATGCTTATATGCAGGGGTCATTTAGTAGAAAAAGAGGTTCAGGCACTCATTAGCATAACTTATTTGCATATGCCACACCCCCTGACATCACGGGAAGTGTGTCAGAAGGCAACACCCACCGCTCAGGCGCCACTGGACTGTTTTGGATTGCTAGCTATTGGGGGGGGGGGACGTGCAGATCTGTCCTCACAGAGGAGGGAGAGCTTGTACCTGAGGGCTCTGCAGCTTACCTGGCTGCTTCTTGCTCTGACTGAGGGCTGCTGGGAGCAGGGGGTGGGGCTTGTTGCATGTGCCCGCCCCCTGGGCTCTTTACTGCCGGAGCTCCGCTCCTGTGCGCTCCGGCAGGAAATGACCCCTGCTTATATGCAATAGACAGCAACGTAGAGAACGCATGAGCTGTGGCCTTTGGCTCTTGGACTTAAGGTTTGTGCCGTCTAACGCAGGTCTCGGAAACGTGTCAGATAGTTAAGCTGGTTTTCTTGTTTTTTCCTGCTGCCTGGTTTTAGAGCGTTGTGTTGTTTGTAGATGAAATCTTTTACTTTGACTTCGTACGATTTTAAAAATTAAACAAAGGTTAGGTGACTTGTGTACCTCAGTCCTGGGGGGCCCCATAGGGTTACGTCTTGGACTCCTTGACAAGATAGCTTCGTGGATTCATGCAGGCCTGCTTCCCAGAATTGGTGTGAGGGTACAACGGAAAAGGGGGATGTTTTTAAAATGCTCCAAATCAAACAAACATGTTCTTCATGTACTGGGTGAGCATCTCCCGCCCACGCCTGTTGCTGGCCTTTTCTAACTTTGCACTGTCAATATTAGCATTGCGACATTTGTAATATTTTTGGTGTCTGGTGTCACAGTGGTTGGGAGCGTGGACTCTAATCCGGGAGAACCGGGTTTGGTTCCCCACTTCCTCCACATGCGGCTGCTGGTGTGACCTTGGGTCAGTCGCAAGTTCTTTCAGAGCCGTTCTCTCAAGGGAAGTTCTCGGGAGAGCTCTCTCAGCCCCATCTACCTCACAGGGTGTCTGTTGTGGGGAAGAGAAGGGAAAGGAGATTGTAAGGTGCTCTGAGACTCCTTCGGGTAGGAAAGGCCGGGTATAAAACCAATCCCCCCCCCCCCCGCACTCCTTACAAGGTAAATGGTCCTCTCTTCCCCATTTGATCCTTACAGCAGTCCAGTGAGGTGGGGCATGTCAGGGGGTACATGTTTGACCCGAGGTCACCCCGTTGAGTGCCTTGGCAGAATGGGCACTCGCGCCCCACACTGCTGTTGTATTCCAAAGAACTGCCTGTGTGTTGTTGACTTGCATTTTTGCAGTTCATACGCTGCTCTGAGCTCCCACTGGGGAGGCAAGCAGGATACGCAAACAAGTCGATATGCGTGATTTCCCAAAAGGTTCCTCCTGCCAGCATCTCCCTCACACAGGGGCCAGCCAGTCCCTCTGGAGGGCCAGCAACAGGGCAGGGAGGCCGAGGCCTTCCCCTGACGCAAACAAGTCGATATGCGTGATTTCCCAAAAGGTTCCTCCTGCCAGCATCTCCCTCACACAGGGGCCAGCCAGTCCCTCTGGAGGGACAACAACAGGGCAGAGAGGCCGAGGCCTTCCCCTGATAAGAACCTCAGAAGAGCCTTGCTGGGTCAGACCAGGGAGGGTCCATCTAGTCCAACATCCTCACATAGTGGCCAACCAGTTCCTCTGGATGGCCAACAAACACGGCATAGAGAACCAGGCCTTCCCTTGATGCTGCCTCCTGGCTCTGGGATTCAGAGGTTTAGTGCCTCTGAATGTGGAGGTTCCCCACAGTCGCCATGGCTAGTAGTCACTGTTAGACTTCTCCTCCGTGAATGTATCTCAACCCCTTTGAAAGCTGCTTATTCCTGTGGCCATCACTACATCCTCTGGCAGCAAATTCCACATTCCAGGGTCTCAGGTCAAGGTCTTTCCCATCCCCTCCTGCCTGGTCCTTTTAACTGGAGATGCCGGGGACTGAACCTGGGACCTTCTGCATGCCAAGCAGATGCCCTGCCACTGACCCACAGGCCCTTCCCGGAGCTACAGTCATCAGAAGGTCTGGGGAAAAGAAATACGTTCTAACCTGAAGCCAGGGAGTTAAAGAGGCTTGGCGCCAGGTGGATGGATGTAGAGAGGGCATTCCCGCTAGCAAGAACTAACTGCCCCGAGCCCTTCAAATAATGGTAGAAGGGGAATCAGTGTCTCCAGAGAAGATCAGAATATGAAACCCGTGCTTCACTCCTGCCCCGATTGGACCCAGGTATCCTAGTTAGGCTGCTAGTGACTGAGATACTGAGCTATCTGTGAGGAGGTACGTGTCGGTGGGGAGAGGGTGTGACCAGTGTTCCCTCTAAGCTGAGGTAGTGTGAGCTAGCTCACAGTTCTGTTTTTTTATTGAGCCCCCGGAGTGGATTCCCCCCCCCCCCAAACTACAAAAACTATCACAGAAAAGGGGAAGGGGGACTACATATACGGGACAACGTATAGAAACCCACTACTGACCAAAAACCCAAGAGAGGAGATCCTCACTAGCTTCATTACATCAAGTCTTCACTTCATTTAGATCAATATAAACTAAGTCAGGCATTTAAGTACTTTTCCCTTTTCATTAACTCTTAAAACTTAACTGTCTAAGAACAGTACCCCCCCAGTCATCCCCATTCACAGTTCTCAAAGGCACAATTCAGAGTCTTTCAGCCTTTACTTCTCTTTTCCTCGTCTCTTCCGCAGCTTATAAGGACTTTTTGGGGCAGCTGCCCCTTGCTCCGTCAGAGAGTCCTCTCCGGAAGAACCCGAGTCCAGCTCGCCACTAGAGTTGCTGTCCTCTTCTTTTTCCCCGTCCTCTGGTCGTCCCAGCTGAACCCTTAGAAATTCTTGGGCTTTCAGAACAGAGTCAATCTTTTCTTTTTTATCCTTAAACTTGAAAGTGACGCCTTCTGGAAATAGCCATTTATATCCAATTGAGTTTGTCTGAAGGAAAAGCACAAGCTCTTTGTACTTCTTTCTCCGTTGTCTTGCTTCAAATGGAATATCCTTTAGCGTTCTGATAGTATTTCCCCCCCACTTTCAGGGGTACTCCAGAAACCGCTTTCAGGGTTGCATCCCTCACAGTTCTTTAGCCTCCGGCTCACAACTTTTTGTCTCCGCTCAGGAAGGACAGCTCCAGAGCAAACTGATCTATGCAGTAGGCGAATCGCTCGCTCACAACTTCAGTGGCAGCATTTCCCAAGGTAGAATTCTTGCTCACAAGACCCCACCGCTTAGAGGGAGCGTTGGGCGTGACTGCCACAAGCCGCATCAGAGACGAAGGAGCACTGAGGTTGTGTTGAAAGAGCCTGACGCTAAAGCTCTGCCTGCCCCCTCAAACTTGTGAAAGTTGGTTCTGAAGGGCTTTGCGTCAGCTCGCTCTCCCGATCGGTCCTCAGCTCTCTCTTTCGCAAAGTGGAACGGGTGGATCAAGGCGAACTGAAGTGTATTGGTCATAGGCTTTTCTTTCTTTCTGGAGGTGGAATTTCGACAGTGGCTTCTTCACTGCCTGTACCATTTACCAATTGTGTGTGTGTGTGTGTGTTGTGTGTGTGTTAGGGTTCCCAGGTCTCTCCTGGCCACTGCCCAGGTTGGGGAATGCCTGGAGGTTTGGAAGTGGAGCCTGAGAAGGACAGGGCCCTCAGTGGGGCACAATGCCACAGAGTCCACCCTCCAAAGCCTCCATCTTTTCCAGGGGAACGGATCTCTGTAGTCTGGAAATTCCAGGAGATCCCCCAGGTTCCACCTGGAGGTTGGCATCCTGAGTGCATGAGTTTGGTGTAGCGGTTAAGAGCGCAGACTCTAATCTGGGAGAACCGGGTTTGATTCCCCACTCCTCCACATGCAGCTGCTGGTGTGACCGCGGGTCAGTCACAAGTTCTCTCAGAGCTGTTCTCTCAAGGGCAGTCCTCGAAAGAGCTCTCTCGGCCCCACCTACCAGTTTGGTGTCGTGGTGAAGTGCGCGGACTCTAATCTGGGAGAACCGGGTTTGATTCCCCACTCTTCCTCCACATGCAGCTGCTGGTGTGACCTTGGGTCAGTCACAAGTTCTTTCAGAGCTGTTCTCTCAAGGGCAGTTCTCAAGAGAGCGCTCTCGGCCCCACCTACCTCCCAGGGGGTGTCTGTTGTGGGGAGGGGAAGGGAAAGGAGATTGTGAGCTGCTCTGAGACTCCTTCGGGTAGTGAAGGGCAGGATACTAATCCACTATCCTCCTCTTCCTCCTCCACCTTCTTCTGTTTTTCTCTCTCCACCGTCCTGGGGTGCTGAATTCCGGTATAATTTTACCCCAGCTGATGAGCGATTTCGATACAGGGCGCCTTGGCGATCTGGGGCTTTCTAGACTCCTGACCTTTTTTCCCCGTTTGTAGGTCAAAGTAGCCCCACCTTCTGCGTGGTGGCAGCCCTCAGGTGGAGGCGAGGTAGAGGGGCGTGGCGCCAGCCGCAAGTCGGAGCAGAACCTCCAAGGCGAGGGAGGAGCCGGCCCAGGAGGAAACCGGGCGTTGCAAGGAACCTGATAGATGCAGACAGCTGCCGTCGCTCCGGCGTTCTCTTTCGGGCAGGAGCGGCCGGTGCCGTTTGCATCCAGAGGGCGGCGGGGGATGGGAAGATGCCGCTGGAGGTGAGGTGGCCCTTCCCGCGGGCCCCGAGTCTCCCCTGGAACTTGGCCAGCAGGCTGATCATGGGCCTGGTGGGCTCCTACAGCTGCTTCTGGACAAGTGAGTACCTCTCGTCCCTGCTGTGTGCATGGTTAGCGCTCTGGGTCTTCTGCATTGGGGGGGGGATGGAGGCACGGGCGGGGAGACCACAGAGCTGGCCGGGCTACTGTTTTCACGCGCTGCCTGTGGAAGGCAGAACGGGGAAGGGACCCCAGGGTTCTGTGTCTGGAGGGATCCCTCTCTCGCTTCCTCTGTGCCGCACGAAGGAATTGGGAGTGGGTTATGTGGGGAGGGGCCACGGCTCAGTGGCAGAGCCTCTGCTTGGCCTGCGGAAGGCCCCAGGTTCAGTCCCCAACATCTCCAGTTAAAAGGACCAGGCAGGAGGGGATGGAAAAGACCTTGACCTGAGACCCTGGCTCAGTGGCAGAGCCTCTGCTTGGCCTGCGGAAGGTCCCAGGTTCAACCCCCGGCATCTCCAGTTAAAAGGACCAGGCAGGAGGTGA